GCTCGTGACTGAGTGAGTAAACACGGGCGTGCGAGAGGGCGTGAGGGCGGGGCTGGCCACGCTCCGCGAGGGTACCGTGAGCCGGCGGCCCTCGCATTGGGTCCCTAGTGTCTCCGCCGCGGCAGAGGCCCCGAGCGCCCCCACCTGGGAGCCTGGGCCCCAGAGTCACCCCGCCCCGGACTCACTGGTGTTGGCCAGCGGGCACAGCTCACAGGGGCTGCCCCAGGCGCGGCCCAGGGAGCAACAGCAGGAGGCTCGGGTGACGCCAGCCCCGATCTCAGCACCGCAGGAGACACCACCGTCCCCCCGGCCATGCGTGTCCAGGAAGCAGCTCCCGACCGGGGTGTCTGAACCGGCGGAAAGGGCCAGTGAGCAAGTGACGAGGCGAACTGGGGCATGCCCGCGCGCCGGTGCCTGGGTGCGGGCGGCCTGCCGGGGCGGGTGCCCGTGTGCCTGTGTGACGCCGTGTGGCCGTGTGCACGTGTAACTGTGCATGCATACACCCACAGCAGGCGCTGTACCCTAACAGGTGGCGGGGCCACCACTCTGCCTGGGGCCGGAGGTGGACAAGCCGGGCAGTGCCAGCCCAGCCCGCCAGCGCCCCTGCCCCCCTGAGCCCCACCTGGAGCTGAATGCGGACTCACCCACGCAGCCCACCCCACTGGGGTACAGCTTGAACTCCGGGGGGCAGCTGCAGAGGTAGCTGCCCGGAGTGTTGACGCACAGGCCGCCGATGCAGGTCACGGGGTCCGCGCACTCGTCGGCGTCTGCGGATGGAGGCGCCTTCAGCGGGGTCTTCCCTGCCCCTGCCTCCGCCGGCTGCGGGGGAGCCGCAGCCCCAATGCCAGGGCCAGGCTGCAGGGAGAGCCACAGCCCCCCCAGGAAGCCAGAGGGGACAGTACCCCCCAGCTACCCCCTCAGCCCCGTGCAGGTCCAGCTCATAGTCCAAGCAGCAGGTGCTGGGGAGCTGACCGCCGGCCCTCACCCGAGCAGCCCGCGGCCGCCTCCCTGGCCGTGTAGCCCCGTGGACAGTGGCAGACAAAGGAGCCCTTCGTGTTCTCGCAGGCTCCGTGGCCGCAGATGGGGGGGTCAGGTCACACTCATTCACGTCTGTGGGACAAGAACAGCGAGGGCGTGACGGGCACTGGGGGGCTGGCGGCCACGCCACTCAGACCCTGGGTGGGGTCCCAGGTGGAGGTTCTCGGTCCGGGGGTGCCGGTGTTAACCCCAAGTTGGCTCAGTCACACCCAGGCGCTGCTGGGACCCTCTGTCCTGTGGGCCAATACACGCTCGCAGGGCACCCCCAGGTCAGCCCCCGGCAGGACCTCTCAGGGTCCTTACACGGTGTGGAACATGGAGTCAGCTGTATCCCCGAAATTTCTTAGCTCCCCAAGGCCTTTAAGGGCGTCCAATGCTCCTGAGGTCTGAGCTCTACACCTCACTGGGCAGGACACGCCTTCCTGGGGTGACTCTCACTTCCTGGCTCCGGCCCTGCTCTGCCTTGATGGGTGCACGGCACACGCCTGCCCCAGCTCAGACCACCAGCCGCCAGGAGAGGCGGTGGCCATGGCCCTCCAGCAGGCTCGGCTCACCCTTCTCTGCGGGGGACCCCTCGGCGGCAGGGTCTAGAGTGGACCCCTGAGTAGGCCCGGGGGCCGGTGAGCCCTGGGCTCACAGAGTGTCCACCAGCCAGGCTGGGCACTGGCCTTCCCTGAATGAGCCCACCGCTTGGAAGCCTGGGCCGGCAGCACTGGGAGCCACGAGCCAAGCCACAGCGAGGCTGCCCCCCGCCCCGGCCCCCCGGCTCCTCACCAACACACGCCCTCATGTCTGGGGCGGCCACGAAACCCCAAGCACCGGCAGCGGTGACTGGCCAGCAGGTTGGTGCACTGCCCCCCTCACAGGCTGTCCTCGCACTCATCCACGTCTGGGCAGCAGAGGGGCCGCGCTTAGCCCGGCGCTGCCACGCTCTGTCCAGCCTGGCTGGGCGGGGTCAGGCTGGGCCCGGACACCCCCTCCTCCCAGGGCGGCGGCCGGC